CGGGTGGTGGGGGATGCCGGGGGGGTGTGTGTTTTCAGACACTTGGCTGTCAGGAGATTTGCATGCTTCCTCCACGTCCGTACTTGCTCATTCATGGATCCTTGGCGTTTGGGGCGGGTGGGATTGAGGGTGGCCTTCTCTCCGGTGGGATGATTCTCAAGAGGCTGGCCTTCCTCCCAGCGAAGTGGGAAGAGAGCTGCCTTCCCTCGCCTGCAGAACAGAGGTCGTCTCTTGTGAGCGAAAGGTTTCCATGGGGGAAGACGGGGCGGGCCGTGCCATGCAGGAGGATCCAGCCTGGGCGGCTTCTTCCTCTGCAGGCGCAGCCAAGGGCTTTCTCTAGAGGGCGACCCGTCTTGCGCTGGGCTGGTAAACCAGTCGAACCCTGTGGGATTTTTTGCACCCAGCATCCAGACTTCTCTAGATATATATATATATATATTTTGGGACGGTGCAAGCTTCTGTCTTTCCCATCATTTCCAGTGTTTGCCAGTTTCACTCTCGTAAAGGAAGGTAGGAATTCCAAGACGCTGCCTTGAATATGTTGTGGGTTGCCTTAAGGACCCTTAACCCTCAACCCTCCTATGCCCTTAAGAGTCTCCTCTTTCTGCATCATCAGCATCCCCCACTTCGCTTCTCTGTAGATTGACTACAAGTGGCTTTTCGTTTCTTCCCCCCCCATGCTGGCGGAAAACGACACAACCTTCTGATTGGTCTCCTTGTGCGTTCATTGACTTGCCTGCTGTCTTGCAGTGTTTTTACCCATTGGGGGGGGGCTGGTCTCGGGATCCCACCGTTGGACCGTGAAAGCAAAGCCGGCAAAAAATGATGTTTTAAAAGTAGAAGACGGTGGATCCTGAAAAGAGGAAACGTGTTTCCTTTAGCTTTTATGGTCCGGCTGAACCCCGAGCGGTTGGTGGTTCGCAGTTGACCGATGAAGGGAGGGAACTTATCTTTGGGGTGGGGTGGGGGCAGTCTGGGATTGGGAACTTGAGCGCGCCTGGGCAGGATTGCACCAGAGGAGTCTTGCAGTGGTTCAGATCATATTGATCTTGTCTCTGTTTCTTTTTTTCCCCCCTTCAGTTTAGCTCTTGAATCAGTTTTGATTCTGTGCGTGTTTTCTTGTTAGAAATCTGCCATTCCTATTGAGTTGAAGATTTGTGGTCTTCCCCCCCACACACACCCCTGCAGGAGATGTAGAGTGAAGATGGCCTTTCCCTCCTTCCCCAACCCCACCCCACCCTTCTCCCCAAGCCTGGTGGTCAGTCATTGATTTGTTACGGACCTTTCTCTCTGGGGTTGATTCTTTGTGTTTGTAAGATGTGAATATTGCTTTGCACAATAAAGTTTATTATCCTCTGCCCCTTTTGAGAACGCTTGGAGGCTGATGGTGGCGGCAAGCGTGGCAGTGTCACCGCAGTGGATGCTACCTGGAGAGTTTGCCATCATCATGCGCGCACACACACCCCCTCTTGGGATGCCATCAGCCCCCATTTCCCGCACCTCCGGTCTGCCAGAGAAGGCTGAGACTCAGAAGCTGATGACTTCTGCCCAAATGGTTTGGGAACAGATCCGGTGTTTACTCCCCATGGAGGGCATCCTAACCCCCCCACATACACACACACACTGTGTGGTCCTCCCCCAGCATCCACTCTTAGGAGCTATGCCATTTCTAATATAGGGAACATCTCTTTAAATAAATAACACGTTTATTGTTTATTTAATTTGTATGTCACCCATCTAAGCCAGGCTGTTCTGGGTGGGAGAGATGGTGTTGCCCCCCCCCAAAAGGCTGGTGGTACCTGGGGGTGGTGGAAAGGATGTTTCTCCTGCAAGAAAGGGGACCCAGGGGTGTCAGGATCACTACCATGGAATTAGGTTTGGTCTTCTGTGTCAATTCCATGTTGAGTCACTTTCAGAGGAGAAAAACAATGTGTGCCTCCCCCCCCCTTCCTAATCTTAAAATAATCTTCCACAACACTTTGGGGTTTATTTTTACTTTTAAGTGGACAGCTTGGCTAGAAGTCAGCAGCGGGGTGGGGGGGCAGGAATCAGATGATGTCGCAGGGGAGGGATCGGAAGTGGTGGGGAGGCCTGGACAGAGTTTCAACCCCCCCCCCCAAAAAAATAAAATTCTGTCACATTGGCTGGACCCAAGGAGTGGATTGCAAAAAAGCCTTCCCTGTTTAAGGTGCTTGTTCGTCATCCGGCGAAATCCATAAGAAGCAAAACAAAAGACAAAAACGTGTGTGGTGCCTTGAAAGACTCAACTGTTATATTTATTAAGATAGTAGCCTTTTCTTGGCTTGCTCAGGCGAACACGGCTCCCCTCTTCTAAACCTACAAGCTTGTTCTTGTTCTTGTTATTTCACGGCCAGGGTCTTGGGTTCTAATCTAGGACGCTGTCTTCCCGGCGCGGGGAAAAAAAGAGGAACCGCGGAGGGGGATGCCCGGGTCCCGGAATCGCCTCTCCCCAGC